AGTATTTTTTTTACGCCTCAAAATTAGTTTTTCAGCTGACAATGATGTGCTATTTGCTATGCAATTATCTTAGATATTGTTGATTTCTTTAACTAATTCAGAAATAACTATCTAAATGAATGAAATTTCACAAATTTATCTTTCAATACTTAATCCCATCATGGTTCAAAATTGATGTCACAGATAAATTCATGTGTGTAGCATTTGAATGTTTCGAGAGCATTTTAGATGTTTTCTTTCGATTTTAATAATAATCATAAACTTTCGCCAAGTATGATTTTATCATATCTTCATGTTTCATCACGTTTGATTCCCTCAAAACCACCTATTTCTATTGTTGTAATTGCGAAAAATCTATAGTGCTTAATCTGCAGAAGACGTTTTTAGTTTGCAACAGTTCACTTTTGAAAATTTGATGGTCAGACGAAGCCGTGTTTTTTCTAAATGAGTCAAGTGCGTAAATTATGGTTAATAACAACGCACTACACACTCTTTTTTTACTGTAGCAACAGTTAAAATAAATATAAAAAGAGCTTTTCAGTCAATCAAACTTATAGAAGTTTCGAGAGCAAGACGCAGTTGTCATGTTTTTTTTAACGTGAACAAACATCGAAGAAAGCTGTTAAGTTGAAATAGGTCATTACGACAAGTCATGTTACAAAGCACAAAATTCAAGAGTAGGTGGTACAATGACGTACATAACTTTTTTCGCTTGTCATCGACTAATATAAATACCGACTGCGGCTGCAGTTTGAAACAAATTATATTTTAAATATATTTTAACGAATAGAATATGACATTATTCAAAGCTAATCAACGATTTTTCGATGTACAAAATGAACCACAAGAAATGCTCTTACCGTAAGTTATATGAAAGATAATTTTTGGATAAAGAATATATCGATGAATGTTTTTCTTTTTTGTAGAATCGAAGGTTATGAAGATATGCCATTATTATCTTTAAAAATGTCTGTCGAAAATTTGGAAAGAATGATATCAAAAGCAAACGAAAATGCAAATATTGCTACAGAAAGATGTGCTTATCCTGCCAATGAATTAAGTCAAGATGAATCTGCTTCGATTTGTTTATATACAATGGATTGGAAAATAAATGATCAATCTTTATGTGCTCAATTAAATGCTGTACTTCGATCAAAAGATCGATCGGAACTTATTCCATATTATTTCTATTTGAAATTATTCTTAACTGCTTTATGGAAACTAAAATCAGTGAAAAAAACAGTATGGCGAGGAGCTAAAGCTGATTTAAGTGATCAATATCCAATTGGAAAAAGTTTTATTTGGTGGGGATTTAGGTAAGAATAATTGATTTAATAAAATTGATTTATTTAATTATATCCATTTAATTTAGTTCATGTATTGAATCATTTAATGATATTCAATCAGATAAATTTTTGGGTAAAAAAGGACGAAGAACATTATTTGAAATTGAATGTGAAACCGGCAAAGCAATCAATGGACATTCATATTATCATGATATAGATGAAATTCTTCTTTTACCTGGTATTCAACTTCAAGTTATTGATCAAAATTATCCTAGTAATGATTTATGCATTATTCGTCTTAAAGAAATTCAATCATCATCATCATCATCTTATCTTCAATCACCATTGACATCTTCTACTATGAAACTTTCAGCAAAACAATATAAAAATAAACCACGTTCTGCACCATTATTACCATCTGCACGTCATGTTACAAATTCTTCATCTTCACAAGGAAGTAAATCATTATCTGTATCATCATTACATATTCCACAAGTTGAAACAAAAGTGACAAGAAAAACATCAAAATCCTATGAAAACAAAGTATTAAAAGAATTAATTAATAAAGAAAGAAAAAATGAATCTATTCGTTTTCCAAAACAAATGCTGAATTATGATGATATGGAAATGATTGCTGATGAATTAATATCAAATAAATATTGGACAATAATATATTTATGGGAAAATTATTTAAATGAAAAACATATGTTAATATTAATGAAAGGTTTAAAATTGAATTCAACTTTAATATGTCTTAATCTTGATTGTAATATGTTAGGTGATGAAGGTGCATCTATATTAGCTTCAATACTTAAAACAAATACAAGTTTACGAACTGTATATTCGAATAAAAATCAAATAAATGACATTGGTGCTCAAGAATTAGCTTGTATGTTATATGTTAATAGAACATTGACACATCTTGAACTTTCATCAAATTCTATTGGTGATGATGGAGTTATTGCTATTAGTAATGCTCTTAAAATCAATAATTCATTACGAACAATAAATTTAAATGATAATAATATAACTGAAATTGGTGCTGAATATATTGCTGAAATGTTACAAGTTAATAAAACATTAACAGATCTTCAATTATCATCAAATCCTATAGGTGATAAGGGTATAAATCTTATTTCTCATGTTTTAAAACAAAATATAACATTAGAATCTGTTCATATTGGTCAAACAATGATAACTATTAAAAGTATGCATGAAATAGGAAAAATGCTTGAAACAAATACTATTTTAAAAAGTTTGTATTTAAATGATAATAATCTTGGAGATAATGCATTAATGTTAATGATTCCTTCATTAATGAAAAATAAAACATTAACAACTCTTGATTTAACTATGAATAATTTAACTGATAAAAGTGCTAAAGAATTTGCATGTTTATTGAAACAAACAAAAACAACACTTACAAATCTTATTATTAGTCATAATCCACTTGGTGATATGGGTATTTCATTTATTTCTTCTGCACTTATCAATAATAAAACTTTAATTAAATTAATGGTTGAATCTGTAGATATAACAATTGAAGGTGTTCGTCAATTAGCTGATATGTTATGTTCAAATAAAACACTTCGTTATCTTGTATTGAATAATAATGAAATTGATGATAATTGTATGAATTTACTTGTTGATGGATTACAATACAATAAAACTTTACAAAATTTATATTTGAACAATTGTAATTTGAAAGATAAATGTGTTCCATTAATAATAGACATAATGAAACAAAGTAAAACATTAATTTATATTGAACTTGTCAAAAATCATCTCACAGAACAAGGTAAAATGACAATAAATGAAGCTGCTATGTTAAATAAAACATGTTCTATTTACTTGGATTTTACTTTTGAACGAGTACATTGATTCATCTCTTCATGTTTTTTTATTTTTTTTCATGTTGTCTATTTATAATTTGTTGTATAAAAATGTATTATTGTTATGATGATCAATAAAAATTGAATCTGTGATTCACAAAATATAATTGTAAAAGATGTAGAATCGATTCATGAATTTGAATGTCATATATTGCTACTTATTGAAGAAAATTCCTATATGTTGAACGATAAAAATAATTTTTGTGAGTTCGAAATTTGTTGAGCATGATAATTTTGTTGATAATTAAAATCATTGAATGAATTATTTGGAAAAATATATCCTACTTTATGATTTTGCTACATTTCCATCCATTTATTACTCCTAGTATTAGTTGTTCTGTTTTGTTGATCCATTGACGAGTAAATTATATGCAAATAAATGCATCATTTTTTCACAACAACACAAGCAAGCAAGTTTCTGGTTAACAAAAATGGCACAAATATTAAATGCTGTTCTCTATTCATTTATAATCAGTCTCTTTCAGCAACAGAAAAAACTTACAATGACGTTGGCGTTATTCATAGAAGTAATAATAATGATTTTATTCAGAACTGCAGATAACTGTTGTACATCTACATATATATACTTCATGAAACGCACAATACTTTACTTAAATATTGCCTTGGTCAAGAAACAATAAATCCATCTCATATTGATAGGTTTCGGTGTTCTTTTATCTTTTGGAAACTATTTCATTCATATGTGTTGTTTAATTTTGTTGAGACATTTTTGTACTACTAAATAGTTGATTATCTAAGGAATTTCTTATGCATAGAACTGCTTGTATATCTCTTTGGGCTCTAGAAACAAAGAAAATAAATCTTTTGTCTTACCATCGAAGTTCCCAAGTTTTCTATTAGGTGCGTCTTTTCTTTACGATTATTGATAATTAAAGAGATTTTCCGAACGGTCACGATAGTTTGGAGGAAGCGCATTCAAAGAGTAATTCAGACTTTAAAATACTCAGAGATTTTCATAACTACAAGTAGTACTTATCGTCACGGCTTACTTCACCCTCGACTGAATGTTCAAGTCTTTCTGTATAATCTACTGCTTTACAAGTCCAATCGACACTAAAATGAAATTTATACATGCAGTTGGGTTTGTGAGCGAGGGTCTGTGTTTGGATGTTGATATGTGTATCATTGTCAAAGTTAATATATATGTGAACGTGCGTTTCCGTATTGTTATTCTTTGTATCTATTCAACCAGTCACACGTATACTCACCACCACACTCACAAAGCACCTAAACGCACGCATACTATCACCACATCTCCACACTCAACATCATATATCGCATCGGAGCTCTCACGCCTTAGCAGAACAAAGAGTTTTTTTAATATTTGAAAGTACCGTTCTCAAAAATAGAATAAAAAGTTATCCGGACAGATCAGAGGATGTTTTCAACAGTTTCTTACATCACAGTCAGAATTGGACTTGTCAACCTCTAATAGAAATAGATTTTTAGTCTTCTTAAATCCAATTTTGGCTGTGTATATAATAAATTAATCAAAACATGATCAAACTAGTTTAATAATATTCTCTTTTCGTTTCTTTAAATATGGTACTTTTAAAAAAAAATCAAGTGAAGATATTAGTAGTTAATAACATTTTTAATCATTTATCACAAACACAAAACACACAGAAACACACAATATGCATCATCGTCGTCCATCTCGTCTGGTCGCTATTAGTTAAGATCATTAAAACAGATAATATATAAAGAAAAAAAAATGTATAGAAAAATAAAGTGAGCAAGAAAAGAAAAAAGAAATTTACAAAAAAAAAACAAACGAAGATAAAATAAAAAATTGAATGCATCACCGATTAAGACTGGCGATAGTATTGTTCGAATTTTGTATGCCACTATCATGACTATCAAGTTGATCCTGTTCATTAGATGACGGTTGCATAACAGCACCATTATTATTGGCAAATTGAAATATTGGACAAGTATTAGCAACAACTTCAAAAGCATCACGTCGATCAATGTCAAGTAATTTTTGAAGAAAATAACGTATTGTTAATGAAGAATTTTTTCGTCCTAATTCTTCAAATAATTGATCAGTTTTCGATTGAAACATATCTTCTTGATCAAGTTGTGGTATAAGATGTTGTTGTTGTAATGCTATAGCTAATAGACACCAATCTCTACCCATTTTATCTTGTTTATCAAATAAACGACAAAGTAATTGTCGAGTTTTTAATGTAAATATTGATATTGGTAAATCAATACCTACAATTAAATTTGAAAATATTTCATTTGAACCACAACATAATAAATCAATAAGATCTTCATCAAAGTCAATCGATGTTATATGAGAAATTTCTTTAGATGGTGTTTGTAAATGACAACTATTTAATGAATCAGTTGAACGATGTTGTTTTATCATTGTTAAACTATGATTATTATTATTATTTCCATCGAGTATTGATGTCTATAAAAGAAAAAAGTATATAAAACTGATACTTGCTTTTTTCTTTATTATAGAAAAATCTCTCTAAGGCGAACACAATCGAAATTAGCCAAAAAAAAGTGCCCAGCTTATAAGGAAGTTCATTATTGGGAGATTTTCAGTTATTTTTTTCAATCGATAAGTATTCACTTGCAATCGTTTGTCGATCGCATAAGGTGATCTTTTTCTTCTTATCAATAATTTATAAGGTGAAATAATTATCTATTTTTCTGAAATAATAACTTTTTTTTTTTACAACATAAAACTAATGTTTTCTAAAAATAACAATGAAGTATACTTTGAACAGGGTATAAGTGAGATATAGAAACAGTTTACTTCCAAATAAACGTTCACTGTTCGGTATATGAAGGTGCTTATATGGAGAGGTTTTACTCTAGTTTTATAACAAACCTGATTTATTCCATATTGTTGCATTAATGTTTGAACAATTAATTTTGGTGAATATGTTCGATAGTATGGTGAAATATTTACTTTTGATTCAATAAATGAAAATGACATTGAATGTGTTTGACAAGATGAACCAGGAATTAAAATAGATGAATCTTGTTCAGCAATTGGTAATGATGTAACAGTTGTTAAATAACGTCGTTTTGTTGTTGATGGTGGTAAATGTAATGTATTTATTGTTGATATTTGATTTAAATGAAGATGTTTTGTTGATATATAATGATGTTCAATTTGTAACATTGGACATATTTGATTAAAAACATGTTCAATAAGTGAAAGAATATCATGAAATAAATAAAAAATTTGTTCACGATTTTGTATTTGTCCTCGTGCTTTTAATTCTAAATGTGTTGGTAAATTTTTTGTTAATAATAATTCAATCATTCCAACAACTAATTTTGAACCTTCAGTCCATTGAAATAATTCAACATCATCACCACCACCATGTTGAACAAATTCATTTGACATAATTAAACGACGAAGATGAACTTGTATTCGAGGAAAAACAGACCAAAGTAATGATGATAATGTACGTGAACGAATTTCACAACCAATATAAATATATTGTACACCAGAACGTTTTTCCCATAAATCCGACATTATTTCAATTGTATTTAATTGAGGAAATTCAAATTCATATTCACCATTTATATTAATTTGTGTACAAAGATCATAAGCATTAAATATTTGTAAAAGATCTACTGGATCAGAAATTTCCGGAAATAAATTTCGTATATCAATAAGTGCAAATGTTTCATTTGATGATGAATAACGTTTACAAATTTGTTGATGATCAAGAAGACGACCTAAAATTGTTTGACAAAGCCAATTTGGATCAAAACAGATTAAATCTTCTTGAGGATCACCTTCCAAATAGAGAATCTAAATAATAAAGTTAACATTAAGATTATATTTTTAAAACAATAACTAACAAATTATTTAGTTATCTCTAACATATAATCTTAGGTGTACTGAAAAAAAATTTTCAGTCCAATCGAATAAAGTTCTATGAGAAACGCAATGTACCAGGATAAAGCCCTATGGAAAATCAGGGTTTCCCAGCAAAAATCTATTTCAAAATTTTTTTTTCCTACAATACGTACTTCCTTTTCTTTGGTACTCTACTTGTGCCATAAAAAATTTAGCTTGATCATTTGTACCGTCTTCGAGAGTCAAAAACGGTCACAAAAGAAAGAGAAGTACTCTTAAAGAAATCTGAAGAAATTTGAAAACATTGAATTAGTGTCAGAATTTTATGGTTTTCCAAATATGACTTCAAATTTTTTGTAGGACCATTGATTTAGAAGTTATGAGCCAATCTTTTAGAAGAGCCAAAATTAAGTTGGAACGGAGAAAATTGACGTTTTTTGTAGCAATAATCTTCTAATCAAGAGTTTCAGAAATAATCGAGCTCACTTTGCAAGTCTATTTTCTATAAAAATCGAATAAACTTAACACGTTGTATCTTACCAACATGCTCATTGTTTAATTTGCTGTATTTGAAATAATACTCGCTACTATATATTTTGAATAAGTTTTGACGAGCCGAATGTCGTCCGAAATCAATTTATAGTCCATTAAAAGATCGGTTCATAACTTTTCAACCAGATATCCTACACAGATTTTAAAGTCATATTTGGAAAGAACACGAAATTCTGATACTAACCCAATATTTTCAAATTTCTGCACGCTCCTTTAAGAGACTGAAAAACAAACGAATATTTTGTCAAATTACTTTTCGATAAATTGCTATAATAAAAATATAGTATATACGTATAATCTATTAATCATGAAAAATGAGAAACGTCATCAAATTCATTATGTGCTCATTTATTCTCATCTTAAAACTTTGCAGTAATAGCGCCGTAACCAGGAGGCCGAATGATAGGATAATTTCCATATTATATAGTATCAATGTTGATAATTATTACGTTTTTCTTTATTCTGATGGTGAGGTGGTGGTACCCAGTCTAGTTCATCCTTTGTTATGCCACTACGTAGTTCAAATAGAACTTACTTCTCCCATTATTTGTAATTGTTGAACTAATTCTCTCATATGTTCGTCACTTGCTAATGGATTAACTTCTTGTCTAATACATTCAACAAAACGTGACCATGACATTACTGGAAAATGTCCATATGTTTTTCTCCATTGTTGTTGAATATGACATGTAGAACGATCAAGAAAAATTGTTGTAGATTTTAATTTTTGACATATTCGTTCCTTATATAGATTAAAACATGAAATAAGATTTTTTATTGATTGTGTCCAGGCAGCACGAGCATCCAAAAGAAATAGTTTATCATGAAAATCAAAATCATCAATATAACGATTTTTAATATGATTTATAAATATTTGAATTCGTTCGCATGTATAATCTCCATCATCAGATTTTATACAATCAGATGCAAGATCAGCATGTGTACCAATAAGAACTATTTTAGCTAATTGAGCACTTCGACCATTAAAACCTATATATTAACAATGTTAGAAAAGAAAAACGTTGATATACAACTGTTTACAATAAACAAAAAACCTTGTACAAAAGTAACAGTTATCTTTCTAGTATGATGTTATATGAAAGCATGATATAGAATTCAAGTTTTAGGTAGCAATATTCTCCCTTCAAGAAATTACACATCCAATAGTAATTTAGATGAAATTTAACGTATTCTACAATGAGAGAAACTCAAAACACTGTAACATACAATCTCAATATGGATACTTCAAACACTGAATCCTAGTATATCATTCTTAGATAATGGCTGTTCGAAAACTGGACAAAAAAAGTGAGGCTATACCAGTGCGATCGTTTATTTTGTTTTGCATATGTATAAATGAAAGAACTTCTCATCTGTTGTTAAAAAAAGAAACCTATTATATAATTCTTATTACATAATTAAAAGTATAATGATTCATGAAAAAAAAACTGACATGAGACATCTGTGTTTATGATATTCACTAATTAGAACTATTTATTAAAGTAGAAATAGTTGATAACACACTTATGCTGCACGGGAAAAAATGCATTATTGATTCTATAGTAGTCGAAATGATAAGATTGTACTTGAAGAAATATATAACAACTTATCAAAAGTCTAAAAACTTGTGATATTATTAGATTCTACGGTCGTCACAAAAAGTTTCCATACCAGATAAAAAGTACCTAAAGTTTAATCCTTTTAGTCTTGTTGATTGATCACAAATAGAGCATGTTGAACTCTGACCGTAAAAACTAAGTAGGACCTGATCCCTCTTCATAAGGAGCGGCTAGAAAGTCAACATTAACTTTTTCTTCAGACAAGGATATCTCAGTATAGAAAACAAATTACGCAATGGTAGAGCCTCGCATGCAACAGCTCACGAAGGAACATTCCTAAGTGTCGGAGCACTTTTGAGTCCGGACTTTGTTTATCTTGTAGATCTTAATGAATTATGTCTACCATAAAAAGACTTTGTGTCCATAACTTGTTTCTGAAGAGACCGAACATTTTACTATTACAGTCATAAGAGTTATATTATTGGAAAAAAAAACCACTGTCTTACCAAATATAAGCTGAAACGAGCTGAGATTTTTCTTATGTGTAGTTGTACTCATGTGGGAGATAATGTGACAGCATGAGCACAAAAGAACTTAGAAAAGCAAAGCTATCGGTTTTAGAAAATATCAACATTATTTTAAATATCCATTATTATGCTACGTCTTAATATTACAAGAGATACGGTTGGAAACTTTAGAACATTGAGTATTTAGGTTCCAATAGACTTGAATGCTTGACCATTGTGGTTTGCTTATTTACTACAACAATATATTTATTTTTCCTTTGATTTTGATGTCTCTCATAAAGCTTATATTGTGAATTAAATGTAAAATAATTTTTTTCATATACTAATTATAAAGTGTCGTATCGAATGTCGACAAATAAAATGAATTTATGCCATGTGTTTGAGAGAGAGAAAAATAGTATATTATAGCTCTAGTTTCCTTGTTGAATATTAATTTTTGCTCATTTCTCAGGAAAATGATTAATGTATCAGTAGTGTCTACTTTTCTCTAAGAGAAGTTTCTTCAATCGGTTGCATCTGGAAATTCTAATTTTTCAGCTTTAATAATACTTGAAAAATAGGTTGCCAACCATCTGGCTGAAGTATGAAATCCAATTATCAACTGTCATCGACTTTCTGTGAAAAGGAAAACTTAATCAAATTGCAAATGAAATAACGAAAGATAATGTCGATAAATATGTTAAATCTGACGATCCTAAATTAGACCCAAACTTCAACGATAGAGGCATTTCTATTTGCTAATTATAAAATGCAGGTTAATCATTTAAATAGTGAAAAACCAAAAAAAAACATTAAAAAAAGGCTTTAGACTCTAGAAGAAAAACCGGTGCTTTCATCATAAGTCCTACGCATTAAGGTCTATTAATCTCGGATCACTGCTTGCGATTACGGTTTATCGGGCTGTATTTGTAGTAAAAATATTAGGCAAAAAGATTGAAGTTCGTGTAATTTTTACTTGATGACGGGAATTCTTGCTATGACTGTATTTCTTTCGTTTTTAAATGAAATTTCTCAATAATAAACGTTTTTAATAGGATAATAAATCCAACTATATTTGTAATATTGATAAATGGTTTCTCAAATACTAATGCATCTGAAATACTAGATGAAGTAAACTCATAGAGAAAGAAATACCCATGAAACAAAAAGTACAAGTTCTTGTTTTATTTATAAACAATTTTAGGTTAAATACAAACCTAAAGGTTCTTGTATTGAAATTCGAACACGAAGAAATTCAAGCCAATAGACTAAATTTTGTTCTAATTGTTGTATATCATCCAGCATATTAAATAATAAAACATGAATACAATTAAAATCTCCAATAAAATGATCATATATTGAATGATAAATCTCCATACCAGTCTATTAATAAAATATTTTCAAACTAATAATTTACTTCTTAAAGTCTTCCCTCGTATAAAATCGATTTTCGATAGAATGCATAGGATTTCTACCAAAGTTTCTGAAAATGTTCGTATTATGAAAGTACACTATTAAGAAAAAAAAATAACTTTCACAGCTCCAAATCTTACCGTTTAGGAAATTTCCAGGAGTTATAGTGCAAAATACTCTTACGCGTACAACTGTTTTTGTTTTTCAATACACTTCAAGTTATAGTGTTCGAGCTACTAGCACTACTTATTGCTTTGAATGAAAGAAAGAGTTTTTTAATTTATATTTTACTTTTATTTTTGGAACTCTTAAAATCTTAGGCAATGGTTGCCTAGGAAACTCATGATTGCTTTGATATTGAGAATCGAACATAAAATTTTTTTCCCTCATCGGAAAGAAAATTTCTCTATCTATTAAATAAAAACAAATCACAATTTACTAAAAACGAACATTATCGGAATGAAATTTGTTCTAAATTCGACAATTTATACAAAAATCAAATTTGAGAATAGCGTGAGAACATTTGTTTTTGTATATTTATCTGAAGAACTTTCTAACATGAGTATGAAATATGATTATATTACCTATCAATCAAAAATTCATCTAGAGTTTTATCTACTGGCCTTTTACCTACACATTGAGCTATGAAAAGAAGTCGTAACTATAATAGCGCTTATAATATTCCTATGGATATATGGTATCAACCTTTTCATTGGAGAGCTTTAGAATCTCATCATGATTTCTGAATGAACATTTTAAAATTGGAATTCATTCGTATTAATTTTCAAACTAGACATCTTTGTTGTTATGCCTACATGTTTCTCTCGAAAAGTTTCTTTTTTATAGACAAATCGATTTTTTTTTTGAAAGAAGGAGTCATTAATAAAAATACTTACAAAATCCCAAGTACTATATTGTCCACCACCTGAATAAATAAAACAAATTTTTATTTAATAAATAATTGTATTAATTTTATTGTACCTGTACATGTTATTTGTTGAACACCAACACCTCTTGAATTATTTAAATTTAACGTTTCTGAATCATCAATAATTAATGATTTTCGACTTGCTAAATTAAAATAAATACGACATTCTTATATCTTTTTTTTTTCTCGACTACATCGTTTTCTTACGATAATTTCTTTTTGTACTATTAAGACGATTACGACGAAAAAAGCTATTCAAAAACGAACATTTTAAAGTATCGACAAGAGTTGTTTTTCCTATTAAAAAAAAAAAAGAAAGTAATGCGCAAAATGAAAAAAAGGAAAAATACTCATTTTAGTTAATTACCTGAATTACAGCTTCCAAATATTTTTAATTTTATCCTTTTTAATGGTTGTTTTGTCGGTACAAGTTGTTCCATAAATACTGCACGATTATCCTATTCAAGTAGAAAAACAAAAACAAAAAATAATCAAGAACAATTTGATTAAAAAAAAATCGATTCAATTTATTTACCATGCTTAATGATTTAAGTAATTGAACTATTTCTATATTGCCATTTATTTCAGCTATTTGACAAGCAGTTCGACCATCCTATACGAAAACCAAAAGAAAATTTTCGCCTATTAAAACTAAAAAGAAAATTAAAAAAAAAAAACTAACCTTATCTTGAATACTTAAATTTAAACCAGCTAAACAAAGAAATCGAGCTATTTCTACATGAGCATGACGAGCAGCTAGATGTAATGGAGTTGCATCAACTTTATTTTTCATATCCATTCGACAACCAAATGAAGTTAATGCTTCAACAACAGGTAAAAGACCTTCTCGACTAGCATAATGTAATGGAGTTTCATTATTCTAAAATGTTCATTTATGTTATTTTAATATTTTTTTTCCTCAATGAAAATTTCTATTTAATTATCATACATTATCCGTTATATTTATATTACAACCAGCATGAATTAATGTTAAAGCAATTGGTATTTGTTGTCGTTTACAAGCAAAATGTAATGCTGATAAACCTCTCTGAGAAAAAAAAAAGCATTGATATTAAAATTATCCATAACAAAAAAAAAATAGAATAATTATACTTTATCTTGAAGATCTAAATGTGCTTTATTATTACTTAAAATTTGAACAATTTCAGCATTGCCACGTTGTGCTGCACAAATCAAACCTGTTTCTCCTTCCTTATAGAAAACAAAACAAAGATATAATTATCAATTATTTTTTGTTTTTCAAATTCATTCTCACTTTATTTCGTATATTAAGATCAGCACCAGCACTACATAGAATACGACAAATTCGAGAATAATCATGCCAAGCAGCAACAATCAATGGCGTATCTTCTTCCTAAGAATATTTATATCAATAGAAAAACAATAACATAACCTTCTTTGATAAAGAAAAATTACATACATCATCTTGACAATCAACATTACCACCTAATTTACATAAATGTTCAACAACATGAGCATGACCATATCGAGCGGCAACATGTAAACTAGTTTCACCAATCTTATTAAACGAAAAAAAAAAACTTTAGAATATAAATAAAAGATAATCAAATAATCTTACTCGATTTGATACATTAATCGGAACGCCTTTTTCATGAAGAAATGTTATTATTGGTACGTGTCCTTGTCTAGCTGCCCAATAGATCGCATTATTTCCAGACTAAACAATCAATTTTCTTTTTAAATGTCTCATCAATCAATATGATATAACTAACCCCATCAACAACTGTTATATTAGCTTTTCGATCGGCCAATAATTTAACAATATCTAAATGACCAGCACCACAAGCAAAATGTAAGGCAGTTTCCCCATGCTATTCAAAACATCAAATAATATATTCTATCGATAAATAATTCAATTTACACTACCTTATTATCTTTATTAACATCAACAGTAGCAAGATTACATAATTTTTTAATATTAGCTAAATCACCATCTTCGGCAGCACAAAGGAGAGCGGTTAAAACAAAATCATCATTATCCTAATAGGAAAAAATAACCTAGATTCTTTTGTTTTATATTTATTTTATTACCTCAGCATAGGATCGACCAGATATATTTGAATCTAAATTATCTAAACTAATAGCAGATGAGATGGACGATAGACGTAATTGTGACTTAAATAGAAAAAAGACAATTAATTCATTGAATTCATATTCAAATAAAATTCATACTTGTTTAAAAATTTTGTTACACAGGCTGATCGCTTTCACACACCTCTATAAAAAAACAAATAAAATAAGTCATGAGATATGATTTTGAAGCAAAATAAACTATATATATATAATTTAAAAAAATAACTAAAAATAATCATGCTATTTCAAAAAAAAAAAAAAAAAAAAAGAAAGAAACAAAACGACATGCGAGGTAGGTCTTGTATAACATTCACACGCATATATATACGAGCTAAATACCCTTCTGATTAGAAGAGGTTGTTGTTTTGACGATTTTTTTCATTTTTCGTGTTTTTGTTGTAACTTTTTTTAATGTTCCTTCTTCAGTTTCTTCATATTGAATATTATCTGATTTTGATATTTTTAAATTTTCATCTGTATGAACTTTATTTTGTACTGTTGTACGAATATTTTGTCCTGTTATTTCATCAATTGATTCAGTAACTTTAGTATCACTTGTTTGTGAACGTGAATGTTGATCAGATACAATTTGTTCATTAGGTAAAGGATTTTTTATTAATGATACACTTGTATCTGTTCTAGGATGACGACGATGATATTTTTCATCATCATCATCATCATCATCTTCACCTTCTTCATTTTCTTGAAATGATTCAGCAAATTCACTGGATTTTATTTGTCTCATTTCAATATTTGTTGGACAACAATGTATACGTTTACTTGGATTTATTATTTCTTGTTTTTCAATTTGTTCAATATCATTATCAGATTCATCAGTTTCAGAATATTGTCCTTCATAGATAGCTGTTTTACCCTTACGTTCACTATGTTTAGCTGACTTAACATTTCCGGCTTTATCAAATTTTTTTGTTGTTACTGTACGAAGTGTACGTGATTCACAATGCATCTGTACCTTCCAACGACGACGAGCTATAAATGATTTGAATGATGGCATATTGATTTGAGCATTACGACGTTCTTCTTCATCTTTACGACGACGTGGCTAAACACAACATACATACATACAGCTCATGTCAAATTATATTTAAAAAGAAAATAACATACTTTGATCCATGGATGATTGAGACAATCAACAACTGTTGCTCGTTGACTACAAAAATGAAGAAGATAGTTGTTTGCGATAAAAAAAAATATCCAGCAACAACAACAGATAGACATGTACAGAAGAATTGATAAGAGATTATCTATGCTGTTATCTTTTCACTTACCGAGGATGTTTCACAAAAAGTTGTTGAATAAAATCTTTAGCTAAATCACTTGTATTTGCAAAAAATTCCTCATCAAAACGATAATCAACCTGAGTAATATTATTAAAAGTTTCTTGATTTGTATTACCCAGAAATGGTGAAGCACCACTTAATCTAAACAAAAAAGACATTTTTACATAATTAAATATTTATGTTTCTAACATACAAAATATATGTTATTACACCAATACTCCACATATCTGTTGCTAATGTAACTGGCTCAAATGCGATTACTTCTGGAGCTAAATATATTGAAATTGAAAAAGAAAAATTTCTAATTTATAAAAGCAAAACCAAAAAAAACAACTTACCAACAAATTCTGGTGTTCCAAAAGTTTCTTTTGTAGGTTCATTTGGTTGAAGTTTTCTCGAAATACCAAAATCAATAATTTTTATTTGTGTCTTATTCTTTTCAAGTAACATAACATTTTCTGGCTATAAATAAATTTCTTATATCGTTGGTTTTTTTTTTTTTTTTTCTATGAAAAATTTTCATTTTACAAACTATACCTTTAAATCAAGATGAACAATATTTTTCTCATGCATATGATGTACACTTTCAAGAATTTGTAAAATAAATTTTGCAGCTTCTTCTTCATTTAATGCATCTTTTTCAGCAATATAATGAAAAAGTTCGCCACCACCAACTCTAGTAAAATGATAAGTTTTTTTTTTTTTTTACAATAAAATATATTCAAAATAATCAATTACATACAATTCAAGTACTAAAATAATTTCATGTTTATTTTCAAATACAGCATATAATGTAATTATATTTCGATGTGGTGCTAATTCACTAAGTATATCAGCTTCACGTAATATTTCTTCTCGTTTAAGACCTCGTTTTCCAGCAATACATTTTTTCTTTCGTACAAATTTAGCTGCAAATTCATGTCCTGTATTTAATTCACGTACACGTTTGACGACAGCAAATTGACCGCTAAAGAAAAATAAATAAATCAAAAATATAAATCATCCAGAAAATGTTTTGTTTCTTCTAAGACATATATATATATATATACATCAAGTACTTTACACTCTCAGTGTCTCATCATCTTTATTTTTCTCCATCTTATATGGTGAATAATGAATATGAATTATTATGGCACCTCAGGGTAATCATCTCAACAATAGCATAGCATCGGCGTATGTCTTACCTAATTATTATTCGTTTTACTTAATATATATATATATATATATAGATAAGATTTATGGCTTTACATTCGTTAGAAACCTAATAGAAAACAGTCGTTATGGCTGTTAGATAAACGATGTAGAATCATAAACACCATCATTGCAAAGAGGGTACCTAGCATTATCTATCTTTGTCTTTTATCCGTTTTGTTTTCTTTTTGCTGATGATAAGATAAAGATGTACATACACTTATGTGTACCAACAAAACGAATCAATATATAACGAAGCTTCGTGCAAACAATGACATGAACATATAAGTATTTGTAGATCATAAATAAATGAAGTTCGTTTATGTGCAAATCGGCAATTAGTGTGCGTATTTCATCCTGTCTCGAGATTCTATCTTTCTTTTATGTTTCTCATATAACAGATGGTCTTTGTTTGATAATGAAGAAAACACAAGCCTATTATCTTATAGTCGATACATAGACACAAATGTATATATGTATGTATCTCTGTTAATTGTTTGCAATATGATTGTTTGTTCTATTTTTTTTTTTGTTTCTCGATTACATAATCTAACAAAGAAAATAAATGGTATTTATATCAAGTACTCTTACTAGACCCATTTTGTTATAGATGTACAAATAAATAGAAGACTAAGGAAAAAAAAAATAAGAAGAAATGATTAACTAACCTTCCGAGATCATCTTGAATATCATAAAAATTTTCAAAATCTTCTGTAATTATATCAAGAACCATATTAATAAATTATTTCTATAAATTAACATTATATTTATGTTGCCTCATGATCTGAAAAGTACGGAAAATAGGTAGAGAGCTAAATGAAATATATTTATTTAAATGAGAAATGAATGTATGTATAAGAGTCGAGAACAACAGTATCGCATATACAGATTACTAATAGAAATCACTACGATGATAATCTTCGCTACGACTACGAGAAACACAACCAACTGATTGAAAAGAATTGATATGAGATGCGGAGAAGAAGGAAAACGACGAATGGAGACTTATTTCTTTTTTCTCTCTTTTCTTTCTATCATTAGTAAGAGTCGTCTGTTGTTTTTTTTCGTTTCTCTTTCTCTCGAACCACGTATACTGTACAATTTTTTTCTCGACTGACATACGCATGTAGTTATATTGCAAAAGATAGCACCTCATTCTTCTAGTATGTATTTATGTATCCTCTTCTTTTATTCGTAACGTGATAGATCAACAACAAATATGGTCATGAATAACACTGTAAAATAAAGATTTAAATAGATGAAATAAAAAAAACATTTCGATGTTGAACGAATTCTAATGTATGTGATTTGTCAATAATTGTTGAATATGATCTATTAAATAGAAAGAAAAAAAAAAAAAAAAGACATGATGACAACAAAAATTGATGAGTAATTATATGGCTTACTACAATTTTATCTACCAATCATCACCTATGCCTTGATTACCTTGTTGACCTTCTTTTACTTTTATTCTAAGAGAAAAAAAAGAAAAAGAGACAAACTTAAATAAACATATGCTAATTTGATCATGAATATAAGTTCAATGCACGATTATGGAAATGAACTAATTTTTCATTTTGCTCATATTATTCGACGATCTTTTTTCAACGAGTTGAAGTGAAAGTATTTATCTTTCTAATGGATATGCATGATGCATTATGACCTTTGATTGGATTCTTCAAATAAAGTCTAACGAAAAAAAAAAAAAAATTTTTTTCTTTTTTATTGAACACATTATTATTCAAACTGACGAAAAAATACCACATTCTCAGCTACTATTACTACTTAAGTAGCATCATGAATAGCGATTTAAAGTGAACATGTACGTAATGATTCGTCTTTGATTTTATGCGTGCTTCTCTATTGCTTATAATATCTGATTTCATAACTTAATATGCATCAAGACATACCGTCAATATTTAAGTAAAAGCTGTCAGTGAAATCAAAATGAAAAAAAAATTTGAAGGCTTTAATAACACTTCATAAGATTCTTAAGTCATTATTTTGTATGGAAGAACACAGATTTTGATTATAATATATTTCGACAAGTATAGAAAAGACATTAATTGCTATTCAATCACGATTTATATCTTTCAGTGAATAAATTTTCCAAAATCAAACTATTAATATTAATGAATAATACATAGAAAGTTTGACTTTTATGGATAAAAAGAAAAGACAATCAAAGTAGTACATTTCTTTTTTTTTTATAAAGGACATTATTCCTAAGAGAATTCTGAAAAGAGACCAAAAAATAGTATTTTTTTTTTATATATCTCTTGAATAATATTCTACATTGATATGCCATATTCTTACACAATTACATTCGGAAAATAACATTTTTTCTATGCATGACATTTCTCAATGGGATAGTTTATACAGCATCAGATCAACAAAAATATAGATAATGTTAATCTTTTATAAAAGATTTTTTCTCATGAGATGTGATTTTAGTTTATCAATTCTTGTTCTTAATTAAAAAAAAGTTACGGCGTGCATATACTCGTAGCCATAGACAAGTTATTTTCTTCTTCACACATTTTTTTGTATAAAAGTATTTATTAATTGGATGTTTTTGTACATTTTTTATTTGTCTTTTTTTTTTTTTTTTATTGCTAACCATATTTTTAAACTGGAAGTTTTGTTAATTCTTTATCCATTTTAAGAATTAGTGTTATTATATCAACATGAATACGATAGATTAGGTTGTTTCTATATGAAACTAACTACACTAAAAGATCATATCGAATTTTGAAGAGAAATTTTGGCAAAGCCGACTGTCAACAAAAAACATAAAGAGGAAAGTAGTACTTTCTTTTTTAATTGAAAATAACTGATTGAATCAATGGCGGAAATGCCTACAGTAAAAATAATATCCGAACTAAGTTAATCAGCTGCTATTCTTTTACAACATATGTCCTTGATCTAAAGACTTAAATGTACCTATTTTCTTTTTCATTTCATTTATTGTGAGATCTGTATACATTTCTAGAGGATTTCCTGCTGCGTACATATAGAACACTGAATAAGAGGAATGCAAGAAATTACAAAACCAAACAGTAAAAGTATTATATTTAATTAGAAAATATTTCATTACATTAGTTAGATAAAGCTTTCTTTAGAGTTTATACAAACACAGTAGAAATATAATTGTTTTTTACGAAGTACTCAACGACATATATGTTAGTAGCACGTTATGGGAATTTATCATTACTTCTAAACTTCACATTCTCATAGGCAAAATGAATGTTTTCTAAAGGATGAAGTCTAGAAATGAAGAATCTAAAGATCTTCTCCGAGTAAAATTAACGAAAGCGAAGAATACTTAATGTACACAAAAATGCCAATGTAGTAATCAGTGAAAAACCTTGTTGTCTTCTAGTCTTGGTAAAGTATAAATAAATAGGCAATGATTAATCTCATACTTTATCAGCTGGAAAATTTTACTATGGTTTTTCTGCCTTCCTCGAGGTATGTCATAATATACATAATTTAGATAGCGAGATTCAAAACATAGCTATTACGATATTCAATTAATCGAGAGTTCGCTAAATTAACGATTTTGAATGAATTTGATGTGACAAATTGAGTATCTGATTTGCTGGATATAATGACTTGTAGCTGATCGTTATTCAGCGTATTAATATTATGAAATATGTTATTTAGATATTATCTTGATTACTATAACCATTTTTCTCTTGTCATTATTTACCTTTCAATTTCCTATTTCTTCATGTACGTTTTTACTAATACGATGAGCATAATGATGTTTAATTAATAATATCAATCATTCTGCAATATTGTCCAGAGCACTGAAAACGAAGAATAAAAATGGTATATTATAAATAGAAGAATGAAATCAATGTCAATTAATTATTTATAATATTAACAAGCTAGTATGTCAAATATGCGTTGTACAAGTTTCATTTTGTTTTTATATAGATTTTAATTTTAATTATTACTACTTTTCTTCTTGTAATTTCGAACGATATATTTGATATTTTCTTTATAACCAATACTAGCTGTATACGGTTTCCATCACAACAAAGAAAATCAAAAAAATGATATTTAAATAAAAATTAAAAAAAAACGAACATACGATTTTCCTAATCATTTGCAAATACTTTTTTTTATATAAATTCGAACTTGTTCACTATCATTATGTTCTGTAATTGATGAAGATTCAAGAAATTTATTAATTATTTTTATAGCAAAAAACAATTAAACTGGAAAAAAACTTATCATTCATCAAGTTTTATAATAGGATTTAAGGCTTACCATTTTCTTCGTATTGAATGATTGGTAAGACATATTTCTTCAAAAAAGAATAAAAATAAACAAGATTCATTTCTATTTGTTATTTCGCTTACTTTCTAGATTATTGATTGACGGTAAAAAAGGTGCAAAGCCATCCAATATATGAAAAAGCTGTTGTTCTTTTTTTCTGTTCGAAAAAAATTATACGATTTTCGATAGATACCGCTAGATATCGGTTTAAGATTTGATCAAAATGTATATATGCACATGGAATTTCAGTAATTCCATATATATAAGAAAAAACACAAAAAGAATTATTCACTCACTGTAGTTAGTTATCATTTAAAATTAAAAATAGTGTTATGAATAGTATGAAAGAATAAGTGGCGAATTAAAGTTCAATTTTCCTTCATAATAATAAGAATCAAGTTTTGTATAATAAAACACCGGTTTTGTGAAACACTTTACTGTTATATGTCGTCTCTTGAATTTTTCTGGTAATTTGCTTAAAGCACGTTCATACATAGATGCATCCATATTTATATACCAATCCCGTCAGTTTAGGGTCAAGTGTAATGATTCTCGATGCACCCTACTTGTTACTTGACTAATGTTCCAATCATACAACCATATAGCACACTCTGAGCGCTACATATATATATGTATATATATGGAGGAAATTTTTTCTCAAGTTTCCTATACTTTGATACAATATCAATATTGATACTTTAGATATGTCTTAAATATTTTTCTTTCATTAATATTTATAACAAAACGAAGTTTTCATGAAATTGAACATCAAAAATTGCCGATATATTTACTATTGATTAATTACAAATTTCATTAAATATTTTTATTTTTTTCTTTGGCTTATCTGTGTAAATGTGAGCTTACTCTTTTTTCTTTCTTGTGTTTCATAAATATTTTCTTCATTGTTTTCTATCCGATATGGATATATAAATGCTATAAAATAGTCAAATATAAAAAAAACTAATATTATTATCGAATAAAACAATTGAAAATTTTTATTAGAATAAATTATTTACATGCATTTTAGTATATGACAATGATTTATGTTTTACTAAGAGTTTGTTTAATTCTTTTTTCTTTAATTTACTATTGTTTATATAGGAAACGCGAAACAAATAATCAAAAAAAAGAAAGTATTCACTATTAATCTAAGTCGAAAAATGTTCATCACAATTGTCACAGGGAATAAGCATAAATTAGCGATAGTTCAAGTGATTTTAGTCGATACATTACTAAATCTAAGATCATAAGATCTTGATAGTAAGTATTTGATAAATAAAGGAAGTCTCCAAACTAATAGATAGATACTGAATCAAGACTATGTGTATTACGTAGACCCAAATGAGTCATGAATATCTTGAAACGAATGCATGGTCCATAGCTTATTGTCACAGAGATGTTAAATCTGTACGTTATTTTTTTATGATTGCTGTGGTTCCTTTTAGG